TAGTCTATGCACATCCTCCACCCCGTTGCTATCTTTGTGGGGATCAACTCATTTTTCTCGTTGCGGATTACGGTAATGCCTCCCTTCTTAGGAACCACATGCACCGGACTCACCCAAGGACTATCCGAGATCGGGTAGATCATTCCCGCATCCAAAAGCTTTACAACTTCTTTCCTAACAACCTCCTTCATTGTAGGATTCAAACGGCGTTGCGGTTGAGCTACCGGCTTGAAATCCTCCTCCATTAAAATTTTGTGCATACAATAAGAAGGACTAATTCCTTTTAGATCGGAAAGAGTCCATCCCATTGCTTCTTGATTTTTCTTCAACACATCAATTAAAAGAGATTCTTCATGTTTTGACAAGAGGTTGCTAATGATAACCGGCTTCTCCTTGGTTTCATCTAAAAATGCATATTTCAAATTACTTGGTAGGTCCTTCAATTCAATGATTGGCTTTTCATCCTTGTCCTCTTTTTTTAAGACTTCTTCCTCCACTTCCCATGGGTGCAAATCCTTAAGACTATCAAGCTCTCTCAAACATTCATCTAGAGCTTCCTCTTCTTCAAGAGTGAACACTTGAAAGGAGTCATTAAGGGCTAGCTCAATGGGAGTGATGTTGTGAACATGCTTTGCAACTTCATCGGTTGCTTCCTCAATTACGTCAACTCGGAAACTATCATGCTTGTCCTTTGAATGCTTCATTGCTTCAAAAAGGTCAAAAGTGACCTCTTCGTTTTGTACTCTCACTTTCATCAAACCGTCATCTACATCAATCATCATCCGAGCGGTTTTCATGAAAGGCCTTCCAAGAATCAAAGGCGCATCATCATCTTCCTCCATATCGATCACAATAAAATCCACCGGAAAAAAGAACTTGTCCACTTTTACCAACACGTCTTGAGCTACTCCATAAGGATGAGTAGTAGACTTATCGGCTAGTTGTAACGTCATTCGGATGGCTTTAATCTCAATGTTGCCAAGCTTTTTCACAATAGACAAAGGAATAAGATTGATGCTTGACCCCAAATCAATTAATCCTTTTCCCACATAAAAGTCACCAATGGTAACCGGCAATGTGACTCTCCCCGGATCAACTTCCTTTCTTGGTAGAGTACGTTGGATGATGGCGCTACAACTTGCATCTAGTACTATTGTTTCCGGCTCCGTGTACCTCCGCTTTTTCGTAAGTATGTCCTTTATGAATTTGGCATACTTCGGCATTTGTTCCAAAGCTTCGGCGAACGGAATGTTGATTTGCAATTGTTTGAAAATATCCATGAACCGGGCGTAATGCCGTTCATTTTCTCTCTTAGATGGGGAATGAGGATACGGTAAATTTTGAATCGGAGTAGTGCTCACTACCTCCTTCCCTCTAGACGCTCTTGCGTTTCTTTCTCTTTGCTTTTTCACTTCATCCACTTTCACTTTCTCACTTTCGTTATTTTCGACTACTTCATTTGTTTTGTTTTCAACTTCAACCTTTTTTTCTTTTTCAACTTCACCATTTTTTTCATTATTTTCCATTTCCTCCTCACTCCATTCACCAACCTCACCATCAAGTTTCTCATCAATTTTTTTCTCTACCTCTCTTTTTTTACTCTCGTCAATCAACTCCCTCCCACTTCTTGTCCTTATAGCCTTACAATGCTCCTTCGGCTTTGTTTGCGTATTTGCCGAGAAAGATGGTCCGGCTTGTTGTTCCGCCAATTGCTTAGCGAGTTGCCCAACTTGAGTTTCAAGATTTTTTATCGCCGCATCATTACTTTTTTGATTTGCTATAGACATTTGCATGAATTGCGTCAATGTATCTTCTAGCTTAGAAGTTGCGACCGGCGGTTGTTGAGGTGCATACGGATTTTGACGGTTAGAGTTACCACCTCCATAACCTTGGTTATTTTGGTAGTTACCTCTAGATTGGTATCCTTGGTTACCTTGATAGTTTTGTTGGTGTTGTTGTTGAGGATGTTGATATGGTTGTTGTTGTTGAGGTTGCCTTTGTTGATAATCTCTTTGGTTTGCCATGTAGTTAACTTCTTCAAATCCGGGAGGCGGACAATATCCGGTATCGTGTTCGCCTTTACAAAGTTCACAACAAGCTATTTGTTTAGCTTTTGATGGTTCTTTCAACTCCTTGATTTGTTGAGTTAAAAGTTCCACTTGTTGTGAAATGAACTTGTTTTGGGCAAGAATTGCATCATTCGTCCCCAACTCGAGCACTCCCGATTTTCTTTGAGTTACCCCTCGGTTATGGTTCCCTTGATGATCATTAAGTGCCATCTTTTCTATAATAGATGTTGCATCATCGGCACTCTTTGACATCAAAGATCCCCCCGCCGTAGCATCCAATAAGGTCTTGTGAACCGAAAGGAGTCCGTTGCGGAAAATATGAACTTGAGTAAGCTCATCGAAACCATGGCCCTTGCACTTCCTTAACATGGACTTGTAGCGCTCCCAGGCTTCGTTTAGCGATTCATTCGCTCCTTGGGAAAATACCGCGATTGCCGTCTTAGCTTCCATGAACCGGTTATGTGGGAAAAACCGTTCAAGGAACTTCTCCTCCAATAAATTCCAGTCCGTCATAATTGTCGTTGATTGTTCAAGATACCACTCTTTCGCTTTTCCAATTAGGGAGTGAGGGAATAGTCTCCTAAACAATGACTCTTCATCAGCCTCAGTAGCTCCAGTTGCGCCCGCAATCTCATAGAACTTGGTAAGATGTGTGAATGGGTTCTCGTGGTCTAATCCTGTGAAAGGATTTTGATAGACTAGAGCAAGGATCCCCTTCTTCATCTCCGCTTGTCTTCCATTTTGGAGATTTCGTGCGAACTGAGCCGTGTGTCTCGGACTATTTGTACATGGAGTTGAAACTGGAGGTGGTGGTGGTTCTGCCATAACTGGTGTGAAATGTATTGGTGGTGTTGTAGTAGAAGAACTTTCTCCTTGTTCTCGGCTTTGCTTCGCAAGTTGCCTCCTTCGTCTTGTTTTGCTATTCAATCTTCTCGCGGTCCTCTCGATTTCGGGATCAAAAAGGAGTTGGTCCTCGGGAATTTGTCCTCGCATAAACAAGGGCTGCACACTAAACCAAACAAATTACAAGCACAAGTCAAAAATTCAAAGCTAAAAATTCAACAACTATTGCGATGCTTGCAATATCAATTTATACTCCCCGGCAACGGCGCCATTTTGTTAAAACAGTGGTTAAGTGTCGGGTTTTTGTTATCGTCTCCACAGGGAATATGAAATTTTGCAGCCTTTCTACAGTTGTTAAATTCGTAACTTTGTAGTAACAAAGTGTTTGGTTTTAAAACAATGGTAACTTTTGCATGTGAGTAATAAATGCGGTAAAATAATGATTTGAACGGTTTTAATAAATATTGCCAAAGTTAGGGTTCGGTAATCACTTTGCATGCATATTTCCAATCAACATTTAACAAACTCCTTTTAATGATCAATACATCCACAACATCCTCTCAATATGATTATCTCTAACTCATATTGTGAGATTTACCATTTTGATCCATTGTTGATCTCTCACACAATTTATCAAATGACAACTTTAAAGTTCAACATTATAAGTGAACAAAACATTTCAAGACTATCTCTAGCTCAAGAAAAGAGAAGGATGAAAACCTAGGTCTAGAGTTGGAAAATATTTCTCAATCATCAACCAACACAAAAGATTGTAAATGAAACAAAGTTTTCACCATATATTAATCATCCAAGAGTTTACAAATGAGGATCATCCATACACATACAAAGTTTAATAATCACTTACATCTAACCTTGACAAAAGATGAGTTTAGCTACACATTTTCATGGTAGCTTTAACAAGAAGAAAGGAGAAGATGAAGAACATCCACTTTGAAGAAACAATGAAGGATGTGCTTCCACTTCTCTTGATTACAAAAATAGTAAAGATGAAGAAGAACTCAAGTATTTAGGGTTCTAGAGCTATCCAATAATGTCTTCCTTTTGATTTTTCAAGATGATGCTTTTTGAAGTACCAAATATGGGCTAAATAGAGCAACAAATAAAGTAAAAATGATGTGCTGTCTGCGCACATTCGCCTGGCGAAGGCATTCATTCGCCCGGCGAACCAACTTAACATGGCACTTCAAAGTGCCTCTGATCAGCAAACCGCCCTTAGGAATCGTGCATTCGCCAGGCGAATAAACACTCGCCGGGCGAACATTCGTTGGCTTCACTCGCCAGGCGAACTTTGGGTGGTTTTGCTACTGGAATCTGCATGAGGAAAGCTACCACTTCTTCGCCAGCACCTTCGCCAGGCGAATGGTAGCGAAGCTTCGCTGGAACCTTCGCCTGGCGAACTTCCTATCCTTTGGGTCTGGGAGTTAAATCTGATTTATTCGCCCCAGTTCGTCGGCACTCGCCTGGCGAACATTCGCTGGCACTCGCTGTGGCTCGCCAGGCGAATGTCTTGATTTGCAACATCTCCCAACTGCTTTGCCTTGATCCCAAGTGCTCTTATTAGTGTCAATCCTGCACACTAACAGCAATATTACAAACATTCTTCGCTTGGATCGCATAAAATGAAACTAAACCAATTCGACTACGAAATCAAACATTATTAGATAAAATTGATTGAAAATACTACCAAAAAGAAACCAAATATCTAATCTAAATGGGATCTAACAGGCTTCCCGCATCGTCCACACTCTGGGCTCATTGAGGCCCAATCGTGAGGATATGTGTTGGAATTTCCGCCTTCATTGCAGTTTGCCCCTACTCGCCTTAATTGCGACATTTGACTTGTCTTCATTGCACCCTCCAACATCTTTATTGTGTTGGATTTGAAGGGGTAGATTTAGTCTCACATTTTTTAGAGATATGACTTGTGTTATTTTTATAAGTAAGAGCAATTTTCACCCTATAAGTCGGTTTTGTGAGAATAAATTAGGCTTAACTCAAATTTTGAGAGTATATATTTACTGTTCAGATTGAGCGGGTGGTTATTTGATTCTCTCATTTGAATTTCAGTGGTTTGCGAAGTGGCTGCTTTGGAATTTTGAATGTAACCTTGGTGAGTGGTTTTTGATCTCAAATATTTTCAATTAATGTTTTGGATGTGTCAACTTTATATGCTAGAGTTTTTTATCCCATCTATGCCATTGCTTTGTATCATTGTGAGTTTTATGCTAGAAGATGTAGTCAATGAGTCATTGGAGCTCATCTAAGGTTTATTTGCGAGTTTGGAAGGTAGGGCATAGGAGGGTTTTGGGTAAAAGGAAGGAGGAAAGAAGAATGGAAGAATGATAGTCCTCCAACTTAATAGGGGTTGGCTTTTTTTTCTTCATAATATAAAATCTCCCAAAGTGAGGAAATAAAAAAATTGTATTTAAGGAGGGTTGAGATAAATTCTTCAACTCTAATATATGTTGTTATAATGCTTCTAAAATTAAAAATATATTAATGATAATTTTTATTTATCATTCTCGACAAATACACTTAAAATTCTCGACAAATACACTTAAAAATGTAAAAGATTTCTCTATTGTTTCCTTTACTTCTTTCCCTTCAAAGCCCTTCCCTTCCCCTCTAAACTCCAAACAAAACCGAAGATAATTTCAGCCTAGTGTTTTACCACAAGTAGAGGATGTTTTGGGCATTTTTATTCTAAGATATTTTCTTATTTGTCCTCTCATAAAGATCTATATTGAAGGAGAGGTGCAAGGTTGACTGATTATCACACACAAGTTTCATAGGACCGATTTCACAAAAATGAAGTTTCTGTAGTAAATACTTTAACCACAGAAGCTCATATGTGGCATTAGCCATGGCTCGATACCCATTCTTTATACTTGACAGAGCAACAACAATTTATTTTTTGCTCTTCCATGAGATCAAATTTCCACCAATGAAAACACAATAGCGTAATGTGTATCACTTGCATCTCCTGTCCAATCAACATTTGAATATTCAATGATCGGTGTTGTCTTTGTCACATAAAACAAGCCCCTTTTAGGTGATCCTTTGATGTACTTGAAGATTTGTATAACAACACCCTAATGATTGTCACAAGGAGAGTTGAGAAACTGGCTTACTACCCTGACGGGTAAAGATATATTGGGTCTAGTCATAGTGAGATAATTCAATTTTTCTACAAGTTTTCATTATCTACTTGGATCAGTATATGATTCCATCTGGTTAGGAAGAAGCGTTACATTATGCTCCATATCAGTTAGACCCGTTTCCTCTAGAATATCAAGAGTATACTTACTTCAAGAAATAATAATATCTGACTTGACTTTGATTGAGCTACCTCAATCCTAAGAAAATAATGAAGAGGACCCAAGTCCTTAGTCTGAAGTTTTTGAAATAACTATTGTTTTAAAGCCTTGATACCCATCAGAGTCATCACTTGTAACCACAATATTGTCAACATAAACCACTAGATAAATATATTTGTTTGATGTAGAGCATTCGGTGAAAATAGAGTGACCTGTTTCTCAAGATGTTATAAAAAATTGTTGTAATGCTTTGCTAAATCTTCCGAACCATGCCTGGTGTGATTGTTTCAAGTCGTACAAAAACTTGTGCAATTTGCATAGCTCATTACACTCTCCCTAAGCAACAAATTCAGGAGGTTGCTCCACGTAAATCTCTTTTTCCAAGTCGCCATGCAAGAATTCATTCTTGATATCCAATTGAAATAGAGGCCAGTGTTACATGGCAGCCATAGATAGAAAGAGATGAACAAATGCCATCTTGGCAATAGGCAAAAAAATATCACTATACTCTTGACCTTGGACTTGAGTATATCTCTTTGCCACTAGGCGAGCTTTCAATCAATTTACCTGTGCGTCAGGACCCACCTAAATATTAAATATCCACCTGCAACCAACAACCGATTTTTCAGAAGGAAGACTGTGAAAAATAGAAATAAGAAATTTTCTGAATGTGCTTGAGTGAATAAAACACTCAGCAACTAAGATATTTATACACACTATATAATTACATATTATGTTTACAAGGAGAAATAAATAATAGTCCAACTTCCTAAATGCATGAATCTAAATATACATGAACGTAAGACTTAAATGCTTATTTTAGTGGGGAACATACAATCTATTTTTCTATTTCCAACACTCCTCCTCAAGCTAGTGAATAAGTATTCTCCATTCCCAGCTTGGATACAATTCGTTCAAAGTTTGAGCAACTCAATCCTTTAGTGAGAATATCCACAAGTTGCCCTTGTGAGGACACAAATGGGGTGCAAATCAGCCCACTATCAAGCTTCTCCTTTATGAAGTGTCTATCAACCTCAATATGCTTAGTTCAATCATGTTGAACTGGATTATGTGTTATACTGAAGTGTCTATCAACCTCAAAGAATGGTATTGTGGTTTCACAGCAGAAATACATTCTAGATTTATTAAAAGAAACAGGAATGAGTGGTTTTCGTCTTGCAAATACCCCTATGGATCCTAATGTTAAACTTTGGGAAGAAGGTAATGTTCCTGTTGATACTGAAAGATATCAAAGATTGTTTGGAAAACTGATTTATTTGTCACATACTCGACCTAATATTGCTTTCTCAGTGAGTGTAGTAAGTCAGTTTATGCATTCTCCTTTCGAAAAACATCTTTTAAAGTAGTATATAGGATATTGAAATATGTGAGGTGAAATCCTGAAAAAGGCTTATTTTTTAAGAAGATTAACGGAAAAAAATGTTTATATCTTCACCGATGTTGATTGGGCAGGTTCAGTCATAGATAGAAGATCAACCTCTGGACATTGTACCTATGTTTGGGGTAATCTTGTGAAATAGAGGAGCAAGAAACAAGAAGTTGTAGCAAGAAGTAGTGTAGAAGCCGGATTTAGAGCTATGTCTCAAGGTATTTGTGAAGTATTATGGATCCTTAGAGTCCTAGAAGAACTTAAGATAAAAATTGAGCTTCCATTGAAGTTATATTCTGACAGTAAAACTGCTATTAGCATAACTCATAACTCACTTCAGCATGACAGAACCAAGCTTATTGAGATTGATCGACACTTCATAAAGGAGAAGTTAGATGCCAAAATCATATGTCTACCTTTCATGACTTTAAGTCAGCAAATTGCAGATATCCTGACCAAAAGTTTGGCAAGACCTACCTTCGAGCATTTGATAGACAAGTTGGACATGATAGATATCTATGCACCAACTTGAGGGGGATGTTGGAAAATATTTTATTTCACCGCTTGATTATTTTCGTTTATTCTCATTTATTTTCATTTATTCTCCATTAAAGAGAGAATTAATTGTAATGATTATATTCTCACTATATAAACCAACCTTTGACTGAGAAATAAGATATAACAACTTTTTACCTATTATCTTCAATATTATTAATAGTAGATTGAGCACCAATCAAATATTATGATAAGTTTTGATTAGTTATTTTAAGAGTCAAGGTGCAAACAAACTCATAGTCACACAATCTTTGAGTATCGTTAGCATAAAACTTTTTATCCTTTGCCAAACTGCATAACATGTTCTATACGATCGAAAATGTGCCATCGACTTTGGCTCAATAGAATTCCACAACTACGATACAAGCTGATAGTTAGCTAATTTCCAACCATCTTTCAATGTTGCATCAATATTTGAAGTGGTTTTAGTAAGATGCTCTGACCGACGTTGACTTAAAACTCATAACTTAACATTGACTCAAAAATCATAACTTAACAGAAGAATATCAATTCATATAGTTCTTATTACCAATTTTTCTGTGGATGTTCCTTAACTAATAAAAAACAAACGAAACTCTTTAAGGCTCTTGGATCACCCTTGACAACACCATTCTTTGGAATTTCATGTGAAGACATTATGTTTCAACAAAGAAAAAAGTTCAACAACACCAAATAAAGGAATAATTAAATCTAGGCAAAATATTCTTTTTGGTCCTTTAACTATACCTTTGGGTTCAGATTGGTCTCTTAATTTTGTTCTGTGTCAGATTGGTCCCTTAAACTCTTAAATGTGTTATGTTAGTCCTTTTTGTCTTATTAGTGACAGAAAATTTCAAGAACTGGTCGCTAAATTCGTCGCTAATTAGACAAAAATAACTAACATGACACGTTTTAAAAGTTAAGGGACCAATCTGACACGTAAAAAAATAATTAAAGGACCAATCTGAACCCAAGGGTATAGTTAAAGGATCAAAAAATGTATTTTACCTTGAATCAAATACAATAATATCCTAACGGATACTAATTATAATTATAATATCTCAACAGTGTTGTCTAGTTCAGAGCACGTCATTCCATTCTCCCTCTCATGTTTCAGGTAAAGCGTCTCCGAGAAAACTTGTATACAGCCATTCTTTTTCAGGTATGTTTTACGAAACAAAAATATACTGGGCTAACAGAGATAATCTTTAGTGTTTTTTGGTTTTTTATTTACTTGAACTGCTTCTCTGCTTTTCTTATGGTTACCCCAGGCATGTATAATGTATTTGTGTAGGACATATCCTATTTTGATAAAGAAAAAGTTGGCACCTTGACAAGCAGGCTTGCAGCAGATTGTCAACAGCTTTCACATGTTATAGGAAATGATCTTCAGTTAATATTACGCAACACTTTGCAGGTCTTAATATTTTCATATTAATTTTCTGGTTAAATTTTATGGCATTATTTTTCCATGTATTACATGTTATTTCTTTGATATCTAGGGAACAGGAGCAATAATTAATTTACTGGTTTTATCTTGGCCTCTAGCATTATCTGCACTGATGATTTGTGCTGTGTTATCTGCAATTTTCCTGGTTTATGGCAGGTAAGTGTTGGTACCTTTTCTGACTTTATTTTAAGGGGCTCGGCAATTTTGCTTCGAGGACTGTTTGTTTCTCTCTTTTTGTATCCTCTTCTTGTTAAGAGGATAACTTGGATTCTATGGGGATGCAAACAAGAGTTTGTGTTCCAATGGACAGTTTGTGCATACTACAACCTGCCCAATGAGCGTGTGTGTAGGATCTTCTTAATGTTCTTTATTCATCTTAGCTCATAAATAATACTAACATTTCTACTTCTTAATTGCTTAATTGCTATCACAAACTTGATTACTTTATTTTTTTAGACCGTCCTATATGAGATGAAGGGTTTTCTTTGTGGCACTTAAAGATGATATTTTATGTTTTTTCTGAGGAGATATTGCTTGTGATTAAATATTTATATGTTTAAGCCAGCCATTCATGTCTCTGGCCTAACTTATGACAATGCTGACTTTCTAAAGAATGTATTTATTGTTTTAATAGGTATCAAAGAAAAGCAGCAAAGTTAACCCAAGATTTCTCTGCTTGTGCTAATGATGTATAAATAGTTACTAGTAGAAACTGTTTCTAAAAAATATTGACCATAATCTTCTTTTAACTATTATTATATTTTCTATTACAGGTAGCTCAGGAAACACTTTCTTTGATAAGAACTGTCCGAGTGTATGGAACCAGAAAAGAAGAATTTGAAAGGTGATTTATTTTGTTTATTCTCTTATTATATATTCTTGCTGAAAATCTATATTTTGGCATGTAATTTAGGATTTAATCTTTCTTTACTTCCTTGTATTAGTAAGCTTTTAAGCTATACCGTTCTCTCCAATTCTGTCCTCAAATTGATACTTTGTGCATCACTCCCAAGCTCATTATACTCCACTATACATTTATATGATAACGGTTGATAAGGATAATTTTCTAATCTGTTAAGCTCTTTTTTTATTTACATGTCCAAAAAATATCGAACCTAGCTTATGGTAGCTAATAGCTGAGATGCTATATGATTGAAGTTTACATACATTATTTACTTGATTTTCAAAAAAAAAAATGTCTTATTAAAAAATTACTGAGTTATTTTGGAAGTTTTTTCCATTTTTCAGGGCATATTTCATAATTTATATGCATATATAATTTTTTCTGTTTGTTAAATAAAAACTTGCAGATATATGCAATGAGGTTAGCAAGAATTTATTTATTTGAAATCATCTACCATTCCGAGTGTGATAATAGATTGTATACATAAGTTGATCATAAATTTTGACAAATGATCATGTCAGTGATTCTCTTACTTCCTAAACATCTAATCAGGTACAATCAGTGGCTACAGAAATTAGCATTTATTAGTGGTCGAGACAGCGTGTGTAATGGTTTATGGAACCTGAGCTTTAACACCCTTTACCGCTCAACTCAGGTTTGGCTCTATGAGTAAATTATTTTCTCATATTATAGACATTGAGGGGTACATAAAATATATACATCATGTCTGAACTAATTAAGGAAATACTAGTAATTATGTTGTTCGAATTACATATCTTTAGAATTAAAGAGATTTTCCTAATCATATCAATATGTACACAAATAAGAAAGATATTACAGACTCCCTAAATCAATTTCTTTAAATACTGAGATTTCCCACACTCTCCCTCTAGATGGTGAATGGGTGTTATCCATTCCCAGCTTGGACAGTGTTAAGATTCTCACAATCAATGAGTTTACGCAAATCGGTGGAGAATTCAAAAATTGTAACTCGAGGATCGTAGCACGGATTGTAAGGTCCTACTACAGGTAAAAAAAACACTGCAGCAAATCGGCGACGTCGACGTCTTGTTGAATGAAATAGAATTCAACCAAATAAAAAACTTGAATGTGAAAGAGGAGGAAGAAACTTGAATGTGAAAGAGAAAAGAGGAAGTAATTCTGTTTAATAATTTGTTAACAGGAAGAAGCTTGAATATTAACAAGGAAGAAGTAATGGAAGAAAGAGAACTGATGTTAGAAATATTTCTTTAACGGTTGATTTATTCCTTGAATCAATAAGTTTCTCTTGAAAAAGAGAAATTTTGATCAATATTTAATGAATTCCTATTTTTAAAAATTAATAATAAATCAGTATTTAATGAAACCCGACCCGATCCAGGCCCATTTTAGAAAATTAGTGTTTTTTTCTAAACAAAACCCCTTAAAACAGAAGCGCACAAAACCCCTTAAAACAGAAGCGCCGCCTTGCAGGATGTATAACAAGTCACAATTTCAACTCGGACGAATTTCAACTCGGACGAATTTACCGAGTTTCACCATGCGAGTTTACCTCTGACTCAGCACGCTGGCAAGCCTTTGGAAACACCGACTCAGCACGCTGGCAAGCTTCTGAAACATAAACTCGGGCGAGTTAGCGAGTCAAATCGCGATTCTGCATACACTGCTCACAATATATACCCGAAGATATATTTATATGTTGAAATAAGAGAGGGAGAGACATTTGAATAAAACTGCGTGTATAGGTAGTGTTAAGAAATGTGGTTGGGCCTAACTCAACCCTACAAAACCGGTTGGTAGAGTGAGGATTGCTCCCACTTATAAACACATGTTCATTCCATTATATTGTCCGATGTGGGACTCTTAACACACCCCCTCACGCTCAGGACTGGACAACTGAAGCGTGGAAATAAATGGTGGGTGGCCCGATAGCGGAAACCATAGAAGGTGGCCCACCGGATCTTAAACGAGGCTCTTGATACCATGTTGAAATACAAGAGACTAAGAGACATTTGAATAAACCGTGTGTTTTGAAAAGCACTACGGAGACATTATTATATTGTTGAATATTAGCACAAAATCAAAACAGATTCTGTCATACAGCTCATTATGGCTGGATTCAAATTATGATTAAATAGAAAAAACATATTTCTATATGGTATCAGTAGCAACAAGAATCCTTTAGGGTTTTTTTTTGTTTTTGCTTCCGCTCTGTTTATCTTTTTTACATCCCACAATGTCTGATACCGAGTCCTCACTTTCACCCAAACATTCCTCACCCGAACCTAAATTAGTCCGAACGTACCATGAAAACCACCCTGTTCAGATCACAACAATTCGGCTGAACGGTGCTAATTATCTTCGATGGTCGCAATCCGTTCGTATGTATCTCAGGGGGAGAGGAAAGATTGGCTACATTACTGGCGAAAAAAAACAACCAGACAAGGCAGGTGCAGATTATGATACATGGGATGCTGAAAACTCCATGGTCATGACATGGTTAGTCAACTCCATGGATGAAGAGATAGGTGCAAATTATCTCTGTTATGATACTGCAAAAGAACTTTGGGAAGGTGTCTCCCAAATGTACTCTGATTTGGAAAATCAATCCCAAATCTACGAATTAACTCTCAAATTGGGAGAAATTCGGCAAGGTGAAGATTCAGTCACCAAATACTTCAATTGTCTCAAACGTATTTGGCAAGATTTGGACAATGAGTATGAGTGGAAATCACCTGCCGATAGCAAACATTACAAGAAGATGGTGGATGTTAGTCGTGTTTTCAAGTTCCTTGCGGGTCTAAATGTTGATTTTGATGAGGTTCGTGGCCGAATTCTAGGCAGAAATCCTATCCCTCCAATTGGTGAAGTCTTTTCAGAAGTACGTCGCGAAGAGAGTCGTCGGCAAGTGATGCTTGGCAAAAATACAGCAGCTGTCCCTCCACCAGTTGAAGGATCTGCCTTGGCAATTCCCCATGTCAATCGTAAACCACTTCATAATCAACGAGGTGGAGACAAGACTCATTTATTTCGCGATTACTGTGGGCGCAATCGCCACACTCGGGAAACTTGCTACAAACTACATGGGCGACCAAATCATGGCAAGGCTGGTAAGTTTGGTGATCGTCCTATGCCTATGGCCAATGAGGCTGATTCGTCTCCATGTACGAAGGAGCAAATGGATAACCTTCTTAAGTTTCTAAAGTCCAATTCATCTCTTAATATCCCTACTGGAACTGTGGCACAAACAGGTAAGGATTCTTGGGCACTATCTGCTCACAACCACTCTAACCCTTGGATAATAGATTCAGGGGCATCTGAACACATGACTAATTGCTCTCATCTATTCAGTACCTATTTTCCTAGTTCAGGTTTTGAAAAAGTTAGGATAGCTGATGGTAGTTATTCAAGTATTGCAGGCAAAGGCAGCATAAAAATTTCAGAGCAAATCACTTTGCAATCTGTTTTACATGTTCCTAAATTCGCTTGTAATCTTCTATCTGTTCATAAATTGTCTAAGGACACTAATTGTTCCGTTCTTTTTCGTCCCTCTACTTGTGTTTTTCAGGACCAGAACTCGGGGAAGACGATTGGAACTGCTAGAGAGATGAATGGATTGTACTACCTTGATGGAATTCAGTTTGGCAATCAAGCGTTTTTCGGTTCAAACAGTACAAACGCATCTCCTGTTTCAGATCAAATTATGTTATGGCATAAAAGATTAGGTCACCCTAGTTTTTCATATCTTAAGCATTTGTTTCCTATTTTTTCCAAAGAAATAAATTCCTCACAATTTCATTGTGAAGCTTGTCACTTAGCTAAAGATCATCGTGTGTCTTTTAAATCAAAAGCCTATTCTGCTTCTAAACCTTTTTATTTAATTCACAGTGATGTTTGGGGTCTTTCAAAAATTAAAACTATGTCTGGAAAAAAATGGTTTGTAACATTTATTGATGATCATACACGGCTGTGTTGGGTTTATCTCATGGAGAAAAAATCAGAAGTTGAACAAAGATTTCAAGATTTTTTTAACATGATTAACAATCAATTTCAAACTAAGATTGGCATTCTAAGGTCTGACAATGGCACTGAATATTTCAACAAATATTTAAGTACATTCCTTGTAACTAAGGGGATAATTCATCAATCCACTTGTCGCGATACTCCGCAGCAAAATGGTATTGCTGAAAGAAAAAATAGACATCTCCTCGAAGTCACTAGAGCTATTATGTTTTCTATGAATGTACCTAAGTATCTTTGGGGAAATGCTTTATTAACTGCTTGTCACCTCATCAATCGAATGCCATCTCGGGTGTTACAATATGAAAGTCCTGTACAAGTGTTACAAAACAATTTTCCTACATCTCGTATTATTACGGATCTTCCCCTTAAAATTTTTGGTTGTCTTTGTTATGTTTACATCCCCAATGTTTTTCGTTCTAAGTTGGATCCTAAAGCCGAAAAATGTGTTTTTCTTGGCTATGCTTCCAATAAAAAGGGATACAAATGTTTTAACCCAGTTACAAAGAAATTTTTTGAAAGCATGGATGTTCACTTTGTTGAAAATCAACCTTTTTTTAAAAATTCTCTTCAGGGGGAGAGTCAATGTAATAATAAAGAAGATAATTTTTGGGAAACTTTGCCTGCTCTAGATGATATTGTGACTACAAATCACCCAAATGCTAAGATAATAGAATCTGAAATAGGGGGAGAAACACTGATTAAGGATGATAATCCTGAACTTAAAGTGTATGTTCGAAAAAAATTCCACAAAGGTGGTGCAAACCCTATTGTCTCTCCAGTAGAAATCCAATCTGATTTACCAAGTGAAGGTCCTACAGATAATCTGTCTTCTAGTTCTTCATCTGGTAATCCTTCTTACTCATCCAATGATTTATCTGATTTGTCTTTTCCTGATATTAATCTTCCAATTTCTGTGAGAAAAAATATTCCTGACCTCGATGTCCCAATTGCTGAGAGGAAAGGTTCTCGTATGTGCACTAAACATCCTATGTCTAATTACTTGTCATATGACAAACTATCACACACCCATAAGGCATATGTGTCTAGGATTTCTAATTTGTTTGTGCCCAGAACTATTCAGGAAGCATTAAGTGATCCGAATTGGAAATTAGCAGTGAAAGAAGAGATGGATGCTCTAAACAAAAATAACACTTGGAGTATCACTGATCTACCACAAGATAAAAAGGCAGTAGGGTGTAAGTGGGTCTTTACAGTGAAATGCAAGGCTGATGGAAGTGTGGAAAGATACAAAGCGAGATTAGTAGCAAAAGGATTTACTCAAACTCATGGTATTGATTACCAAGAGACTTTTGCCCTAGTTGCTAAGATCAATTCTATCAGAATTCTTCTTTCTCTTGCAGTAAATTTCAACTGGACACTATATCAATATGATGTTAAAAATGCCTTCTTGAATGGTGAATTACATGAAGAAGTATATATGAGTTTACCTCCTGGATTTGAAAAAAATCTTGGAAGAAACAAAGTATGCAGATTGAGAAAATCCCTATATGGATTGAAACAATCGCCAAGGGCCTGGTTTGAGAGATTTGGAAGTGTTGTTAAGAGACACGGTTTCACCCAAAGTCAAGCAGATCACACTATGTTCTTTAAACACTCATCTGAAGGTAAGATTGCTATCTTAATAGTGTATGTTGATGACATTATTATTACAGGAGATGACGTCAAAGCAATTAGTGATCTGAAGAGAAGACTTGAGGCTGAGTTCGATATCAAGGATCTTGGAAAGTTAAAATACTTTCTTGGGATGGAGTTCGCAAGATCTAAAGAAGGTATTTTTCTCAACCAGCGCAAGTACATACTCGATTTACTTGCAGAAACAGGGATGACAGGGTCTAAAGCAGTAGAAACACCAATGGATCCCAATGTGAAACTAAAGTCAGTTGCTGAAGATGAAATAGTAGATAAAGAACGTTATCAACGATTGGCTGGAAGACTAATTTATTTGTCACATACAAGGCCAGATATAGCCTTTGCAGTGAGTGTAATAAGCCAATTTATGCATGCACCAGGTGCAGCCCACTTTGAAGCTATTTTCAGAATATTAAGATATTTGAAAGGTACTCCGGGAAAGGGGCTGATATTCAGAAATAGAGGACATATACAGGTTGAAGCCTATACAGATGCTGATTGGGCAGGTAATATAAATGATAGAAGGTCTACCTCAGGATATTGTACTTTTGTAGGTGGAAATCTAGTTACATGGAGGAGCAAAAAACAAAATGTTGTAGCCAGGAGCAGTGCAGAAGCTGAATTCCGATCTGTGGCCCATGGTTTTTGTGAAGTATTATGGATCAAAAAGTTCATGGAAGAATTGAAGTTCTTTGGCCCAACTCCAATTAAAGTTTACTGCGACAATAAGGCTGCTATTTCTATTGCCCATAATCCTGTCCTACATGACAGGACGAAGCATGTTGAAGTGGACAAGCATTTCATCAAAGAAAAAATTGACAGCGGTGAGATTTGTATGTCCTACATACCTACCAAAAGTCAAGTAGCAGATGTTCTCACAAAGAGTCTTCCAAAGAGACTGTTTGATAACATGGTGTGCAAGCTTGCTATGAACGATATATTCATGCCAGCTTGAGGGGGAGTGTTGAATATTAGCACAAAATCAAAACAGATTCTGTCATACAGCTCATTATGGCTGGATTCAAATTATGATTAAATAGAAAAAACATATTTCTATATATATATAAATAGAATACAAGTAATTACATGATATAGTCGATGTGAGACTATTCTATATACAAATATTCTCAACACTATATATATATATATATATATATATATATATATATATATATATATATATATATATATATATATATATATATATATATATATATATATATATATATATATATATATATATATATATATATATATATATATATATATATACACATATCAACACTCCCCCTCAAGCTTGAGCATATAAGTCAAATGCACCAAGCTTGTTACATATATAGTTAGTTCTGGGGCTTCGTAGGGATTTTGTAAACACATCTGCCAATTGATCATTAGAGTTGACAAAGCTTGTGACGATGTCGCCTGACTCGATCTTCTCTCTGACAAAGTGACAGTCTATCTCAATATGTTTGGTCCTCTCATGGAAGACTGGATTTGAAGCAATGTGCAATGCAGCTTGATTATCACAAATAAGTGTCATTGGTCTTGCTTCTTCAATTTGAAGTTCCTTGAGCAACTATTTTAACCAAATAAGTTCACATGTTGCCATTGCCATGGCCCTATACTCTGCCTCGGCGCTTGATCTTGCAACTACATTTTGTTTCTTACTTTTTCAGGAGATAAGGTTTCCTCCAACAAGTACACAATACCCAGAGGTGGATCGTCTATCAATGGGTGACCCTGCCCAATCAGCATCAGAGTATCCAATTATCTGAGTATGTCTTTTATCCTCATACACAAGACCTTTTCCTGGAGCACATTTGATGTATCTCAAAATCCGGATAACAACATCCATGTGTTCCTGACAAGGGGAATTTAAGAACTGGCTTACCACACTGACTGCAAAAGAAATATCCGGACGAGTGACTGTGAGATAATTCAACTTTCCAACCAATCTCCTATATCTTCCTGAGTCAGATAAAGGCTCCCCCTGATTGGGTAGTAGTTTAACACTTGGATCCATAGGAGTATCAGCTGGTTTAGCATTTAACAAACCTGTTTCTTCCAAAATATCCATAGCATATTTCCGCTGAGAAATGACCTGACCATCTTTAGATTGGGCTACTTCAATACCCAAGAAATAGCGGAGTTTACCAAGATCTTTTGTCTGAAATTGTTTCGAGAGATGTTGTTTCAACTGGAGTATTCCCTGCTGATCACTACCAGTTATGACAATGTCATCTACATACACAATAAGATAAATACACCATTGGGGTGAGTGACGATAAAAAACAGAATGGTCAGCTTCACTACGGGTCATACCAAACTGTTGTACTACAGTGCTGAATCTGCCAAACCAAGCTCTCGGAGATTGCTTAAGACCATAAAGAGACCTGTGTAGCCTACAAACCATATTCGATGACTCCCCCTGAGCAACAAACCCAGGTGGTTGCTCCATATATACTTCCTCTTCAAGATCACCATGTAAGAATGCATTTTTGATGTCAAGTTGATGAAGAGACCAATGTCGAATGGCTGCAATGGCTAGAAGAAGTCTAACAGATGTCATCTTGGCTACAGGCGAGAAGGTATCACTATAATCCAACCCAAAAATTTGAGTGTATCCTTTGGCTACCAAGCGGGCTTTAAATCGATCAATCTTGCCATATGGACCAACCTTCACTGTATAAAGCCAACGACAACCTACTAAAGATTTCCCATGGGGTAGAGGAACCAGTTCCCAGGTACCACTGCTTTGAAGAGCACACATTTCATCAATCATTGCTTGCCTCCACTCAGGGTGAGATAATGCTTCACCTGGAGTTTTAGGAATAGAAACAGAAGACAAAGAAGACAAACAAGTATACTGCAAAGGGGAAAGACGATGATAACATAAATCAATATAATGTGGAGAAGGATTTCGTGTTTGACGTATACCTTTTCGAAGGGCAATCGGAAGATCAGTTTCAGGTTGCAGGACCGAATCCGGTGATGGCGAGAGCGTCGGAGGAGAGTCTGTAGTGACCTCAGGGACAGGTACGACTTCAGGGACAGGTACGACCGTAGTGACCTCAGGGACAGGTACGACTTCAGGGACAGGTACGACAGACTTTGGGTGACGACGCTGATATGTTTGAAGTGGGCGAGGAGTGGGGGGGTCAACCGTAGGGGTAACTAGTGGGTCAGGTTCCCTAGAATGATGGGGGATAATGACAGATGGGACTTCCGGAAGAGGTGTGGGAATACTTTCCTGTAGAGGTTCCGTAGTAACTTGGCTGGATTCGAAATATGGAACAGACTCGAAGAAGGTAACATCGGCGGATACGAGGTATCGTTGTAGAGTATGTGAGTAGCAACGATAACCTTTTTGGGATCGATGATAGCCAAGAAAGACACACTTTAGTGATCGAGCTGATAGTTTATCAAGACCAGGGGATAGTTTATTAAGCACTATGGAAGTTGTATTATGTAGTTTAATATACAGCTCATTGTATTAATTACTTAGGGAATATTCTATAGTATATCCTATTCTATTCTAGAATGAGATCGTATGAAATATTCTATAAATAAATATATACAAATATCAAAGAGACAATTCTCACCTTACAAGTTGGTTTTATAGGATTGAGTTAGGTCCAAACACAATTTTTAAGAGACAATTCTCACCTTACAAGTTGGTTTTATAGGGTTGAGTTAGGTCCAAACACAATTTTTAAGAAAAAAATTAGATCTGATATTGGGACGGAGTTCTTCAATCATGTCAATACTCCTTTTGTGAAAAAGAAGGAATAATTAATGACTCTTGTGTGAAAACACCACAACAAATGGAATTGCAGAAAGAAAAAATGGTCATCTTCTCGATTAATCCGGATCATTGTTGTTCTAAAATAATGTTCCAAATTATCTTTGGAGAGAAGCTGCACTTACAACAACATGCCTGATTTACCGACTACCTTCTTGAGTGTTGAAATTTAGGAGTCCTATGGATATTCTTCTGTCCTTCTATCCAAACATTTCGACTACTAATAGTCTTTGGGTGTCTCATTTGTTCATATCCACAATCAGTCAGCATAGGGGAAAGCATGATCCTAGAGCTCTAAAATGTGTTTTTGTTGGTACTCTACTACTCAAAACTGATATAAATATTACCGCCCTCCGTCAAAAAAATTATTTTTCTCGAGATGTTATATTTAGTAAATTCAGTTAGTTTTTCATGTTTGGTTTCTATCTTGAATATATTTAAGTTTTGAAGAACTGACCTGTGGTTTTTAATTTTTAATGCTTTTGCCAATTTTCAAAAATGTTACTAGATATATGTTATGTCCCTTTGTCTTGGATCGTGTTGACACAGTCCTAGACGCGGTAGAAGCTTTGCTTCGACCTATGGTGAAGGTAGAAGCGGGCTCTCGTCCTTGACAGAGCCTCTTCTTAAATCCACAATAACTTTTTTTGATAATAATTATTGATGAATTTTATTGCCAATCTAAATGCCTTTAAATAGGCTTACAATAAAAGAAAAATCCTAATTAAATTAGGTTAGTAACTACCTTTTCCTATAACTACTATCATTTAAATTTAAATGATAATAATCCTATTGAATAGGTAAATTCTGTTCCAACCTAAAACTTATCCTAAGAATATTGAAATTTAAACTTAAAAATACTAACTTATTAAAAATAAATAAAATAATAAATCCTAATAAACATAATTAACCCTAATATCAATATACTAACTATATCCCTAAACATAGGACCCTTGTTTTCCAAGTTTACCCTTTATAGTATTTATTACTTGCTTATTGGTTACATGAAAAGATGTAAAATAATAAAGTTGTTTTTGGTAAAAAACTAATGCAATTAAAAACATTATAAGGGTATTATAAAAGTAGATAAAGAAATTTCTTCGGAAGATTTTATATTTAGGGACGGTTATTTAATTGTTTTTATTTATTAAATTGCAACTTGCAGATATTTGCAGTGCTTTTAGGAGGAATGTCTGCTCTCAACTGTTGTGTAACTATTGAGCAACTTACTAAGTATGTATTATACTGTGAGTGGTTGATTTTTGCCACTTGGAGGGTGACAAACAGTTTAACATCATTAATGCAGTCCATCGGAGCATCTGAACAAATTTTCGAGATGATGAATCGTTTGCCCTGTGACCAGTTCTTAGTTCAAGGCAAGTAATTCTTAGAGTTCCTTGCTATTGTATAAGATATGGAATCACATATTGTTTTAATTGTGTTTCCCACTTTTAACAGGGATTAAGTTGCAGAGGCTAATGGGCCATATTCAGTTTGTTAATGTATCATTTCATTATCCTGCAAGGAGTATGGTATATAAAGTGTTTTTCACTACACTTGTTTTAATAAGCACATTTTTAAGTTACTCACTCTGCTCAAAATTAAGGCTATGTTTAGATTGGTGGATTAGAACGGAGCGGAATGGGATATGATAGAATTGAGTGGAGCAGAGCAGAATAGAACAGAGATTCCATTCCATTGTTTGTGAATTTTTATAATTTATCAACTAAATATAACAAATTAGTTCATTCCATTGCATACATCCACCCCCAAATTGGATGGAATGTAAATTGAAGGATTTGATGGAATAGGATGGAATTGATTCCATCATGTTTCATCCCACTCCATCCATTATCTGCAATTCCAAACAATAGAGTCTGATTAAATAACACTTCATTCCATCATGTTGCACTGAATATGTTGCACTGAATTTTCTACCCAGTCACTGTCCGTTCTAAATTTGGCATAAGTACAATACTTTTACCCTTTCAGTTTATATATTGTCATGAAAAGTGGTTTGATGTCTTTCTCTATTGTATTTCACACTATATATAGTAGTGTCATTAGTTATAGATACTTATAATTCATAATGACTAATTACAATTCATTATGACTATCATTCTAATATAGGAATTTTTTCACAATAAAGACTGATTAATTCCTGATTAACATATATTTCATCCCTTTTACATAACCATTCAATTTCAAGAAATGAGTGTGTATGAAACTGATTTAAGTTATCATTAATTTTCCATTGTTCCTGACTTTTGAACAGATGCCTGTTCTACATCACTTAAACTTCTCTGTAAAAGCAAATGAAGTCATTGCCATTGTAAGATTTGTCCCTTTTACTATACCATTGATGTCGGCGATTCCCAAAAACTAACTCCATATTTCTACCTTGCCAAGGTTGGTCTGAGTGGCAGTGGAAAGAGCACATTAATCAACCTTTTACTTCGCCTCTATGAGCCTTGTAGTGGTCAGGTAAATTAGTTATATCTTTCAATCCTAGTAATTTGAAGTCATGATCTCGATTAGTTATTGCTCATGAAGTTGAAAGTTTCTTGTTTTTAATATTCTCCATCATTGAGATGATGACTAACAGTATACTCTAGGTTGTTAATCTTGGACGATGCGTAACACCAAATCCCTAAAATGCTATATCCGGGATGACTACTATTGTGAAGACTAAAAAATTAACGTACATAGTAAAACATAAATTCCAACAACATGCATAAATACTAAAAAATAACAATTGCAGCAACATATATAGTAAAAATTAAATAGTAAACATAAATAACAACATACATATTCATCAAAATGAGTTCCCATCAAATCAAATTATAAAAGTATTCAAAATCACAAACAATTGTTTTCTTGCTATGGTCTTTGTAAGAGTTCCAGTGCCAACCAATGTCAAGGTTGTCACCAATAGGATTAAAACATCCTTTCTTGCTGGAGGTTAGTGTTACAGTTGCAGAGGCAGAGAATGATGATGGCAAAGAACAATGGAAACCGGAAGGCATGGGAGAAAGACAAAAAACATGGTGTTAAATTAAGTAAAAAAGGTGGGAAAAACCAATACACCCTTGTAAAAATATTTTGGTTTATGAATTTGCCCCAATTGAAAATAGCAGCCATCAAACCGCTATGCACTGCTATTGTGCCGCCTATGAAACCACTATTTGCATCCGCTATGACTGCTACTGTCAATAGCGCTTCCCAGGTCAATTGTGTAGCGGTGAGGGGCCATGCTGTCACACTTCATTGCTATAGCGGTGCTATGGTTGAACTCGAATGTCCCATATTTTACTAGTTTGAAGTTTTGTTCGATCCATATACTTATGTGTGATTTGGCCCGTAGTTAACTGTTTTGATTTTTTAAACTTAATAGAAAAGCTGAATGAAAATAAAACTTGGTGAAGATGATAAATCACCTCCCAAAAAGTTGATGGTGATACAAATGACAAAGATGATATATAATACAATTATGCTATATGTTAAGAAATGTGATTGGGCCTAATTCAACCCTACAAAACCGATTGGTGGGATGAGGATTAACCACTTGGGCGATACCATGTTAAAAAATGTGGTTGGGTCTCACTCTACCCTACAAAACCGGTTGGTAGGGTGAGGATTGCTCCCACTTATAAACGCATGTTCAAGCCATATATTATCTGATGCGGGACTCTTAACACTATTTAATGTTTTTGTTCTTGATACAACTATGAGTAAAATAGCAAAGAGAGGACGCCACTACCTCTGAGCTCATATGTTTATATTTAGCTATGAGTAAAATAGCAAAGAGACACACTGCTATCTCGAAGCTTGTGTGTTTATATACATCATTATTCATGGTAATAATATCTTATAGTCTGGAGAATTTTTTGACAGGTATGTATTGATGGTTTCCCTCTTAAGGAGTTGGATATTAGGTGGCTGAGGCAGAACATTGGATATGTTGCGCAGGTTAAGATACCGAAACAATATTTTATAAATACTTGATTATATTCATTTTCTGATTTTTTTTTTTGTTTCAAATAGGAACCTCGTATCTTTCGCATGAGCATAAAGTCGAACATAGAGTATGGCTGCCCTAGGAACATAAATCAAGAAGATATTATAAAGGCGGCAAAACTGGCTTATGCCCATGACTTTATTTCCTCACTTCCTAATGGCTACGACACCCTTGTTGATGGCAATGCACTTAGTGGTGGACAAAAACAGCGAATTGCCATTGCCAGGGCCATTATCAGGGACCCTGTTGTTATGATTCTGGACGAACCAACCAGTGCCTTGGATTCTGAAAGTGAGCATTACATCAAGGTATATCTCAATTTCTTACCATAGTTTGAATATGTGGCCTCCAGCCACCGCAACATAACGGTTTGAGTTCTTCATAACTGCAAATGTGACTGCCACATTTGCCCCTTTACCGCAATATAAAAGTTCACAGCGTAATTGCAACCACAATTTAAAACTGTGGTTCTGACTTTTCAATGTTATAATTTCCAATTTTGTGTCCAATGTATTTTGCTTATCCAAATATAACTGTGACATGCGTGTTCTGTGCTTCTTACTATAGGAGGTATTGTATGCGTTGAGAAATGAAACTAAATCAAGAACCATCATTATCATAGCTCATAGGTAAATTCATAAATATCCATTGTTTCGATTTGTTTATAAGAGAAGTATTATTGAAAGTACCATAATTACAGGCTTTCTACCATAAAAGCTGCTGACCGAATCGTTGTTATGGATAATGGTCGCATTATTGAGGTGATTTCCGGTTGAACTTAACTATTTTATCATAATACTTATAGTCCCAAAAATGCGTTTTTTGTTGTTTAGACTTATGAAGCACGGACACCCCAAATACGACACCGACACGGTAATATTGGTAATAATTTGAAAAATAAATAAATTAAAGATAATTGCAAGTGTCGGTTAAGGTATTGGTATCCGACACAGACACGGACACATCATTTTTCGGAGGTGTCGGTGCTACATAGGTTTAAAGATACAGTTGTGCAATTATATGTTTGTTGCAAATTTTTGTTTACAGCTTTGAGTTAAGTAATATACTATATATATTTACTTAAGAAAAGTAAGGCTTATGACCTTGTTAATGCCTTGATGCTACACAAAATTTCAGTTTTGTGTACAGAAGAACAATGCATAAACAATGTGTTTTTTGTTTTGCAGATGGGTAACCATGAAGAGCTTCTGGTCAAAGATGGGCTCTATGCCAAGTTAAATAAAATCCAAGAAGATGTATTTTAACTTGATTCAATTTGTTTTGACAAGGGCAAGAAATTAAATTGTTAAGAATTCTCTATTGATAATTACAATAGAAATTAATGATATCATGGTAGAAGTTTGAATTGAATGACAGTAACACTTTTAACATTTAAAATTTGGGCAAATATTTTTTCACCCTTATACCTTCTCACAAATCTTTTGGTGAAAATCCAAAAATATCTCTAGAATTCGAAAATGCATCTTCAAACGCATCAATTTCTTTCACTAAAACGATTACATGATTTAATTGATTAAATTTTTTTTTAATTGTTTAAGAAGTAACTTGCTCAAATATATTTGATCATGTCCCTATTCAATTAGGTTGTGTAAAAATCTTTTCCAATTGATTAGATATATTTTTTTTAATAAATTCCATATTGATAGTTTTAAAATTTTTTTTTTTAATGAAATTAGAGAGGTATGGTTGCCTTACTACTTAGAGAATTAATCTATATTTTTTATATTAAAGTGATCACTTAGACATTTGTTAAGTGCAGGACTAGATAAATTTTCACACTTCATCTCTTTTACAACTTTTAAGTTTTATCTTCTATTTGTTGATTCATTATTTATTTAGCATTTCATATGAAACTTGACTGATCTAACTAATGAGATTTAAAATAACTTTTTGATTGTATACAATTGTCTCCCAACAAGACTGTTTATTTTAAAGTCTTTACTTTATATTTTTCGTCTTTATATTTTCTGCTTTAATTTATGTTACCTTTGATCTTTCAACCAAAATTTCACAACAAGCTTAGAAAAGTATAGACCGTAGAACGACATTCTTTCCCTCCCACCGATCCCTGTGGAGACGATATAAATTCTAAAGGGAAATCTTTCAAAACTAAATTTTTTCTTCTTACCTCTTTATTGCAGTTCAAACAAAATGGCGTCGTTGTTGAGAATTGGTGTTTAGATATTGAATCGCATTGCAATAGTTTCTATATTTTTGAGATTTGTACAGTTGTTTATATCGTATATATACTTGTTTCCTTTTACATTTTTTCAAGTGTTGGTTAGGGATGAATGATGAGAACTTCTTCTAGATTGGTTGTTATTTGTACAAAAGTATCAAATGAAGATTCTCCCAAGTTTGGACGGTGATGGTAGGATGTTGAACATGTGAATGCAAGCAAGGTAAATTGTACCGCTTTATAGAATGTTAGAATGATTTAAGAATTTTGTGCTTTGTCCAAATGTGTATTCTTTTTTCATGTTGCAACTTGTTTGAATGCTTGTTTCATTAGGTCCAAAAGCCACAAATTGTGAGAAAACTCCATTGTTTACTATATGCTAGGATGACTAATCAACTTTGTTTAATTCATTTTATTCATGTTTAATCTTTTGATTATTTTGATTTTGTGGAACCATTAGAAATGATCAAGGCATTTGTTTATATTGAGCACAACCGTATCCAAAAGTAACTTACCTGTGAATAGAGAGAATTTGTTACCCCTTTTGAGCCTAAACAATTTAGATCTCATTTTAGTGATGAACTTGATTTATGTACATAATTTGAAAGTTTAGTTCATCATTAAATTTTGTGAGATTCTAAAATTTTTTCTTGAACCTTTGAACAATGTTTTAAATTGATTTCCTTGCCATAAAAATCAAGGAGCATTCACTTGAGGTTTGGTTGAATTCAAGTTGGGATGAATGAAAAATGGTAGGTTGTTAAAATTTTTGAAAAATTTCAAGCAAGCATGAAAAAAGTGTGAATATGAATGTGAAAAACAAAAGAAAAAGAATGTTTGTTTGAAAAATAAAAATAGAGAATCAAATAATTGTGCAAAAGGAAGTTTGGAAAGGGTGAGCAATAAAGAAAAGAAATTGGTGAATGAAGTTGTGATATGTAAATACCATGTATAGTGAATGCTTCTTTTGCGTGGAAACTTCTATTCAATGTCCTTTAGAAATGACCCTTTGTGAACCTGACCAAGCTACAACCTTAAAATCCCTTTGTGATCTTCTTGCTTCCATATTTTCATTTTTTGATTGTTAGATAAATGTATGAATTAAATTGTTTTTATCATTGTTTGTCAGGTGAGTGAAATTGCCCCACGGTTGTAAAAGCGTTAATTTCTTCATTCTTATTTTGAAGAGGAGTGTTAGAGTGATTCAAGTATGAGAGTTTAGTTGTTATTTGAAACATCGCATGATATTTGTTTAAGAACTAAATTCTTTGTCATTGTTCGATTCTATTAAGTGGTGAACATTGCTTGCGCGCATTCTCATGCTCGAGGAAATCCTCTTGAGAAAATCTCTCTTGTTTGAATTTGAACCGTTAATCCTTTCTTTGTTGAATCTTATGCTCGAGAAAATCCTCTTGTTTGAATTTGTCAGAACATTCCTCTTTTGAGAAAAGAAAAGTCAATAGAAGACAAAAAGAACAGAATGCACAGATTGCACAGTCTTTGAGAAATGATTTCAAAGTACTATAAAAGCAAGCATTAGCATCACTTCAAAGGTTGACGAAACTATTGACAAATTATTCAAGCGCTCATTCAAATATTCTTCAAGCTGAAATAATTTTCATTTTCGTTCTAAAACTTGTGTAAAAATCACTGTTGTGATATAACTTTTTAGAAGCATTTCTTAAACACAAATTTGTTAGTTAATCTTTGTAAAAGATTTTCTTAAGAAGACCAAGTTGTGGTCAAAATTTCTTGAGAAGACTAAGACAGTTGTCTTAGTGGTTTACACTGTAATCAAGTTTGATATAGTGGATTAAGTCCTTATTGAGAAAGGAAAATCACCTTGGTAGGGTGGACTGGATTAATTTGAGTTCAAACGAACCAGGATAAAAATACTATGTTATTTTTCTATCATCCAAATTGTTTTTAAAACCCTTATTCAACCCCCTTCCCCTTTTAAGTGTTTTTCTCACCTTCAAAAGGGCCTGAAGTTTGTTGGGGAAGTTGTAGCAAAGCGGTTCGCTGTGCAAAGAAGCGTTCGCACAACGAAATCATATATTTTTCACGGGCGGTTTAACTGTTCATAAGGCACTTGAAATGCCTAAAAGTGGGCTTCACTGGGCGAAGAAGGTGTTCACTAGGCGAACAAGGCAGATATTTTTTACTATATATATGTACTTTTCTCACTTTTTAGAAACATAACTTATATAACTTGTAATTTTCATAATAGAAGTTTAACTCTCTTCATTCCAAGCATATTCTAGAGAGAGAAATACACAAACCATAAGGGGTAGAAGGTAAAAGCTTTGATCTCTTGTTGGGTTTTAATGTAATCTTTTGATACCTTATGTATTTCATCTAATCTATGTATTGTGAACTAGTTTTGACTTAATATTGGTGTTGTTTTTGATTTCTTATTTGTGGGTCTTGACAAAACCTTTTTAAATCTGAGATCTTAGATATTCATCTATCAATGAGAAAACTTTTGACATATTCTTGTAAGTTGATATTCACTAGTATCTTTGATTATATTGTGTTAATTAGTAGCATGAGTAGCATGAGGATCATTAATACAATATTGAGATGATGCGTGATAATAGGGATGATAAACAATGTTCACTTACATTTGGAAAATTAGTTGAATGCATATAAAAAGGGTTAAGTGTATATATGTATTCTGATCATGGCGTTTTTTATGAATCAATCATGAAGCTGATATTGATATCATCCTTGCTTACCTGTCTATCTTTGATTTGAACCGATATATAAATATACTCTTCAGATATGGATCTAGGATGATTATTTGTTAGGTTCTAGACTCTAGACATAGATTTAGGCTTAACATTTGCTTGAGTATCAATTCTTAATGCTGTATGTTGTTGAGTTGCGTGAGACATCACCAATGAGACAATACGATTGTTCTCTTGATGTTGTGTTAGACATAACCTCTATTGTGGGTGATACGTAAGGATATTAGACGAATGATTGATTTGTGTTTAATTGGTTAGAAGAATGCATGTGTTATCAATTGATGAGATCCAATCCCGACAAGGCTCGGTTTATTTTGAAATCTTTACTTTTTATTTTCCGTCTTTATATTTTCTGCTTTAATTTATGTTACTTTTGATCTTTCAACCAAAATTTCACAACAAGCTTAGAAATGTAGAGAATGTTGAACGATATTGTTGCCCTCACACTGATCCCTATGGAGACGATATAAATCCCAGAGGAAATCCTTCCAAAACTAAATTTTTGGTTCTTGCCGTTTCACTGCAATTCGAACAGCCGCCGAACTTAATGATAAAAATGAACATCTTACATTTCTCTAGATTTATTTCTTCTCTAATGTTTAGAAGAACATATTTGAGTTTCAATTTATCATTTAAATTCGTCATTATGTTGTATGATCCCATCTCCAATGGATTTTGAAACTCTATAGATGGGGTGGGTGTTCATTAATCCTTCTACTAAAGTTTGGATCTATGTGTTATGCAAGTTATAAAGCCTCTTGTGGTGAAAAAACATCAAATCTAAGGTAATATTGAACATAACATTTATAAAAGATAGAAGTTATTAAGAACCGAAGTTGATCATGTTCAAATGTTGAGAGCAAAAATAAGTCAATTCAAATTCAAATATCAACATCAAAGAAACTAAGGATTTGAAAGCTCCATTGGTTCCCTGCTTTATTGTTTTATATAACTTTGATTAGTAGTCTGTAAAATAAAAGTTCTTGATACTCTTCCCTACTCTCAATAGGCATTGTAGAGGGTAAATCAGTAAAAAGCTGTGAAGGTCTCTCAAGAGGATAAAGCATCTTGAGTTCACAAGCTCTGGTATTGACCCACTGAGTGTATGGCTTGAAAGCAACACAAATATCCTTTTCTAGATGATCTTTGCTTTTTTTTTATGAATGGTGTGCCAAGCCTCTATAACTTCCTTTTTCAAATCTGGATTGCCACCCTCATTAAGGTAGAAGAACACTGACACCAAGAAACTACTAGGTCTGTCTTTCACGGGGTACCTAAATTGACGTCTCGTAAGAGCGGGGTTGTAGTTAATCCC